CGGAGTCGCGGGATCGAATGTCGGTCCACCTCAACTCCGGCGGCGTCGGCCCGCTTTAGTTTGCGGGCCCCTTCGCTTTTATTTTGGGTGTCCACCCCACCTCTCTTGAGAAGGCGCGCGGGGATACGCGCGCCACCTTCTCGGGCTTTTCTTGGAGATGCCACCGCCCCCGCGGTGACATCTCAGGCCCTTGCGGCGATCTGAGGCGCCCATGCGCCCCTCCACCTCGGATCGCTTTGGATGGAGCCACCCTTATTGGGCGGAGTCCATCCTGCTCGGCCCGCTCTCACGGTTGGGGGCTTTGGGGCCCGACCGTTTGCCGACACCTTTACCCTTGGGCGGGGAACAGTTCTTCGCCCCCACCCAGTGATCTGCCGGCCTGCCTTTAGAGGTACACACCGCACACCGCGGCGCAGACGCGCATGAGGCCGCCTTGTGGCCGCTCTCCCCACAGCGATAGCAGAGACCGCTGCGATCCTCCGCTTTGGTGCACTGGGCGCGCACATGACCCTCTTCTAGACAGCGGAAGCATCGCAGCTGTCTCTGTCTGAGCAATTCAGCCCGAACAACCACCCAGCCAACTTTAAGTTTCGCCGCGGTGGTGATGGCCTTCACCGCACGTATTGGGGCGCGGACCCAGCAAGCCCCCGCACCGGTAGGATTCCTGCGAACGTCCCCCACCTTAACGTCCTGGACCTGGCAATCCCCGGCGCTAGCAATGGCAGCGGCAATCTCCTCAACGCCAACGGAGTCGTCCAGACCCATTAGACGCATTTCCGCCTGTTTAGTGGGCCTGGAGACCCGTGCCACCTCCTCCGGGACAAGTTCCCGGAGCTTCGCCGCTAGGGCATCCGCCTTTTCCCCGCTGTCAACGCCGGGGATCTCCAGAATGCGGCCACCCGTCACGGCGACTCGCAACCGGAGAGCGTCTATCCCCAGGGGCCCCAAGTCAATCTTGGATTTTGCCTCCCTGAGGATATTCGCATAGGACGCTCCCTCTTTCTCAGCCTGCGGGTCCATCGTTATGATGATTGCCGCAGAGCTAGGCGGCCGCAATTTGGATGGGGCCGGTGCCGATCTTTTATTCGGCTGCTTTCCAGACGCCTGCTTTTGGGACTTCCACGGCTCACCGGGTAGCCCCTCGGGGACACTACTTAGTTTGCCCCTTTTACCTTTTACAACCGTGGCCCATGACGTCGTCGGATGTTCCGACTGCGCCACCTCCTCTCTGGGCCCACGGTGATCTCCCTGGGTGAGGGCCTTTTTTGGCCCTGGTCCTTTGGCCTTGGTTTTCGGGCCAGCTTGGGCATTGGGGGCAGAACCCCTAACCGCAGTGGCAGGAGCGGCCTGACCGCTCTTCTCCTGCATTATGACCGGTGGTGGAACCGACCCCATCTCCGGATGTTGGAAGGGATACTCCCTCATCTCCGACATGAAGGACGACAAGCGGTTTTTGACTATGCCGTCGACGTCCCTCATAATTTGTGCCCTCCAGGCCTTCATTTCAGATCCCACCACCGGTCCCTGAACTTCTCCGGTGTTCGCGGCGGGAGCTTCCGCCTTCTTAGCCGCCCTTACGGCTTTGTTCTTCTCGGCACGGAGTTCAGCGACCTCCCGCTTGAGAAACTCCACCTCCTGCTCCAGCCGAATGTTTTGTGCCAAAAGTGGCGACGCAAAACTCGGGATTAAGCTCGCCTCTAGCGCATCGACCAGCCGTTTGATGCTGGCCAGCCCATCTTTCATCGTTTTGACGCCGGTCCCTTTTATATTTGCTGATCTCCGAATGACTTCGGTGATCTCCTCCGCATGCTGGTAGACCTGCATCCTGACTGACCTAATAGCCTGGCTGGCCTCAGCACCGCTTGTTGGGGCGGGTGCACCTTGCTCACTACTGCGAGGGGGCTCGATTTCTGAGTCCCGTAATCGCTCCTGGCTGACGACGACTTGTTTTAGGCCTGCCCTGGCCTCCTTACTCCCATCTGTGGTTATGGCTTTGGATATAGCCCCCTTCCTCTTTGGTGGCAGGGATACCGGTTCAATAAACTTCTCATCTTCGTAGAACCGGTAGCCAAACTCCTGGGAGGGATTTGATACCTTTGACCCTGATGTTCGGGCCTCCACACCTGCCGAGGGGCTCTGCCCAACCCTTTTGGGGGCCGAGCCGGCCGGCCGAACGCCCACTATATTCGGATTCCGACCCTGATTTGGGCTCCGTACGACGTCTCTTCCGCCGCGACGACCTCAGAGTACCTATGGACGACGTCTTGGCATCCTCATCCTCGACTAGAGACATGCAGGAACTGGAGAGGTAATCCGATCCCAACGCCAGTTCCCGCTCCGCCAACTCCAGTTCGCGAGCGAACGTGCTGAACGCCGCCGCATCTTCCGCGCTCATTAGACCTCTCATCTCCATCGCCTCACCGTCCTTAACGGACCCAGCATTTCCTCCGTCCTTCACGGACTCCGTCATCACACCGTCCTTCACGGACTCCTTCGTCACACCGTCCTTCTCGGACCTTTCATCAAAGGGTTTTTTGTGTTTGTCATCCATTTTTGTTCCCACGAGTGTGGGGAAAGGTTGCACAGCCGGCGTTGCCCCCTGCTACCGACTGCGGCCTAATACACTTTGGGTGCGGCTGGTGCCCAAAGGTTGGTGCGCTTGCGGCCGGAGTTACTCCTCCGACCCGGCCGCCCCGGGGAACACGCTAACTGAAAGGAATTTCCAGCAGCGTGCTCCGCGTGACGACCTGTCCCTCGCCAGGCACCGAGCTTAGACAAGAGGTTTTTTATAGAGGTTGACTCCTCGCGGCCCCGGGCAATTAAGCCAAGAGCCCCCGCTCCTACACTGGGCCGATAGACGTGATCACCGACACCCAGTGCAGGTTTACGGTTTGAAGCCAGTTGCACTGAAGTGCTGTCCGGCTGCGCAGTTAAGCACCCACCAGACCTGGCTTCCAGTAGGCAAAGAAGAAAAAGGAAACGAAAACAGAAAGACAGAAAAGAAGAAGACAAAGAAAAGAAAAGACGAAGACAGACAAAGTCAAAGAGAAAGATTTGCCTACTCCTACTCGCCGGACTATCGGCCGACATAGTAGCAGTATCCCGAAAGAACGACTACTATCCCGCCCAGGGCGCACCAGAACCAAACCATTGCTCGGCCACCGTTCCCCGCGGACGTATCCACGAGGATGGGGAAGCCTCCCAATGGATGGCCCATACTTGGAGGTTGTCCGACCACGTCGCCCCAAACCAACCAAATCCTGCCCCAAGCGAAAATTGACTCAAAAAAATTACTTGTGAGCTTTTGGTGGACTACAGCCGGTGTTGTTCACTTCAGCTTTCTTAAATCTGGCCAGATGATTACGGCAGATGTGTGTTGTCAGCAATTGAGAAACCATAATGGAAAAGCTAGCTGCTAAACAACCGAGGCTGGTCAATCGCCGTAGGCTACTGCTGCTTCAGGACAACGCCTAGACCACACACTGCACAACTGACATTTACCAAATTAGAAGAGATTCAATTGTAATGTCTAAGACTTTACAATTGCTCCCCGGATTTTGCTCCAATAGATTACCATTTTTTTCGAAATTTGGATAACTGATTGGGAAAAAATTCAAATCCGATGGGGCAGTCCAAAGTCCAAAGATTTTATTGATATGTCCAAATGTTCCCGTTCAAATGTTTTTTTCAGTAAAGGGATCAATGTACCTATGAGATGTCAAAAGTGCATAAATAGCAATGGATGTACCAGTTTGATTAAATAAACATGTTATATTTTGAAAAAAAATACTTCAGGTTACTCCCTTACAAAACACCACTTTCATATGTTAGGACCTAATATTATTCAGACTTATATTTATAATGACAGCACCATTTTTGGCTGGTTATTTAGAAAAAATCTACCTTAAACTTGTAAACAAAAATAGTTTCTGTAAAACAAAAAAAAATACATGAAAGAAAACCTTAATATCTTGTATTATTGCGCCGCCACGCAATACAACAAAGTGCAATTTAATTTCTATATAGGTACTTGATTTCTCGAGTTCTCGACTTTTCTCGAGCTTGATTTCCCGGGAACAAAACCCAACGATTTCCCGGGAATTCTCGACCCGAGAATGAACCCTAATTGTCACGAATTCATTTTTCAATAGTTGTACTTTCCTATTTTATCTTTATTTAGATAAATAGGTAAAATAGGAAAGTAAATCAACTATAAAAAAACGAGAATATATTATTGTTAATGTCATGACTATTATATTTTTTTAAACAGAGTAATTTTTTTATAAAGATATATATAGAGTGTATATTGTTGTATTAAAATACAGTAATTGAGGAATATATTTCTATGTATAATATGTATGTATTTACAAAAAAAAAATATCTATGTATATGTATCAGTTATCTAGTACCCATAACACAAGCTCTAGCTAGCTTAACTCGGGTCTAGATGGCTCTGTGTGAATTGTCCTGAGATTATTATTATTATATTTAATATGTTACGAATATAGTGACATAGTTTCGTGTTTTTCTACAATGTCAATCAACAGCTAGATGAATAATAAATATGACGTTGGTCTATAAAAAGTATCTATTATACCACATATATCGCACAAAAAACCCTAATAATTTACTTACAAATTATTTCGGATTCAAATTAAGCCGCATACCGTATAAAGATACGAACTGATTAAATAAACCCTAGGTTTCTATTATTTGATGTACGTGTAGCCAATCATCTTGACACTAAACTTCAGCTAGAAATTTGTATTAAATTCAATATTTTGTGGAATTTGCAACGATGCTTTCATACAAAACCAGTTGTTTGTGACTGTTTTAAGCATGATGTCTTTGAGTGACAATATAAACTTGCCAGCAATTGTTTATGCAGTGAACCCATCACTCAGACAGGCTGACACTTCAAAGAAAATTCAAAAGCGCTCATGAAATTCTCTTGATTCGAATATAGAAAACTTTATCTTAAAATAAATCTCTTGTTGCAGCTATTAAATTTCAAGAGAACCTCTTGAAGACTATGATACAGATTGAGAACACATTCTTCGAACTGGGTAGGACTTGTCAAAGGAACTGTCTCATAATATGTGACCGTGGAGCGATGGACGCCAGTGCATGTAAGTAATGAACAGATAATTCTCATGTTATAACTAATTCATCCATACATCCCTCGCACCTCTCGATATTCATCTCCATACACTGCACCTAAGTGGTCTAGGACGGTTTCAGAGGTGCTTCCAGCATACTTTATATTGTGGAATGAACTACCAAGGTTTTCTCGTGACACTTCATCATGGGGTTTTTCAAGGGTACGTTAAGGTTTCTTAAGGGGCGGCAACACCTACATGACAACCCTGGTATTTCAGGTATCCATAGGCTTATATAGGTAATCGTTTACCATCAGATGGGGCGTTTGCTAGTTTGCGTGCGTAAAGAAATAAAAGGATATCCGAGATAGGATACAGGCATAGTCAACTATCTACGTTGTAGTAAACGTAACATATGACGTTGTAATTGATAGCTTGATTTGTTTGGACATAATTGAGACCAACTAAATATAGGGTGAGCCTATCGTTGTATCTCGTATTAAATTGGTTCGATTACATTAATTTCTATCGTCGACATTATTTATTATAAAATTTATGAATTTATTGCCAACGTTTTTTTGTGTGCTTAGATCTGAACCTGTAAGTCGGAGCGGTACATAATGAATTAAACCCCACTCTATACACTTTTTATTTCTTTTATACGTCTATCTTCCCTATTAATTCTGTTGCCAAGCTTGCATCTTGGAAACTGTAAAATGTGTGGGTGCAAATCAAGATCTTCATCACACGAGGGCCGGAAGCGCGACTACATAATGAGTCGACGACGCTCGAGTGATGCTTTTAGTTTATTGCCTGTTATGTCACAAATGTTCTATCGTCTATGAGCTATATCGTTGATTATCATCAGGCGAACCGTATGCTCTTTATTACTTCAACTGATCAACCCAGCGAAGTCGCGATATTATCTAATAGTATAATCTAATGTTTTGGTACATATTTCGTAAGTATCTCTAAGGTGATGACGGATATCTTAGGACTATTTTTAATACTGTGTGTGTTAGATTATTTAAGGTACATATACATAACGTATATTATACAGGGTATATTATAATATCCCTATTTTTATTCTAATAAAATATTACTGACCGGTAACGTAGTATTTTTATAAGGCATTAATTTAATTTAATAATTTTTATAATTGGTAGTTGGTATTAGTAGTGGTAGTAGTTTTTGAGTTTATTCCTTAACATAGAAATCATACATCAATCAAATACACCTTTCTAAAAAACAAATACAGCTCAGTTGTCATCCAAGCCCGATATAAAAGTCACATCGTTATCATTAATTTGTTACATTTTCAGTTATATCAAAGGAGAAGTGGGAAACAATGATGGCGGCAAACAATTGGAACAGCGTGGAACTTCGTGACAACAGATATAACCATATTGTTCATATGGTGTCAGCAGCCAACGGCGCTGAAGACTTCTATTCCACTGAAGTAAGTGTCGCGCACTTGTTTTTAAATATATTCGTGGCTCGAAAATTTATTATCTTTACAATTTCCGTACCTCTATTGTCATGTTGAAGAAACACCTATTTATATATAATACCAACATAATTCTATTTTCCGTGAATAGAATTATGTGGTACAGTACTTAATGTACATCGAGAAAAACCCAAAGCAATGCAATGCATATACATATAAAATACTCGATCGCGATAAAAAAGTATTTGTATCATTATTATTACTGTATTACTGTATTGTATTTTTCCTATTGACTATATCTTACAAACAATACAAAAGTACGTTTTTCCGTTACGTATGTTTAGAAACTGCGAATTTTCTAATCAACCCGAGTATCAGACAATGTTGATTAATGTATTAAATAATATCAAACACTATCCTCTAATTTATTGTTAGATTAAAATTATCATGTCTACAATAACAAAACACGATACTGTTATAAAGACATGTCATAATAACAAAACATGTGAATTTTGATAACGCGTTAATCATTATGTAACATTAATTAAATATTATATAAAATGGCACATATGATAAGAAAAAACCCGATCAGATTGTTTCAGTAATTGATGAAAATCTAGATTGATAATTTAAAAAATATTGCGTGTAGTTGCAATCATCATTCTGCATCAATCATCGCTTATTATAAATATAATTTTCATTTACAAGATTTTATCATTCAGTCGTATGTAATTGAATTCTAACTGAATCACGCCTGGACAGACAAGACTTAGGACACACTAAGAATTATCTAATCTCGAATATATAATTTTATTTCCCATATAATTACAGTTATTTAAGAATATTTCAAATAATAATATATTTAATTTTGCTCCTCGTGTGACTACATATTGCTCCATGGTTTTCTATTCCTCATTTTATTTTTTGCTACATCTTTGATATCGTCGTACTATATTTTCCATGCATCTATCTTTGCCTGCCTACTCTCCTTTTACATGTCGGTTCTAATTATTTTGTTATTTTGTCATATCTCCGAGTTACTTCGTAACAAATCGTTTTTTAATCCCTCAGTGCATTCGCTGTGTAAATACGATTGGAGGATTATAGATTTCTCGGTATAGTTATTAGTTTTAATAAATTCTATACTTAAATATGTACAATGTAAAAAAATGTACAAATGTAATTATAAAAGAAATTTGTCATGTTGCCAGAATCTAGCTTGTTTGTATAGATAATTAATGTGAAATGCAGCTAAATACGCTTTCTATGCCACTAGGTCTCCCATTTAATTTATGTAACGACTACAGTTTGCGAGTATTAAATGACAATTACGACGTAGAAAGCAATTAATTTTGATTTAAGTACATTTAAAATTATCACATACTATTCTAATTGAGAGGGTGGTAAGCTCGGCCTCAGCTACATTTGTTTCTATTTTTTTTTTTAAATAATATCTTTCGCTTCTTTTGTGGCGATATCCTTTTGGCTTATGTCTTATTATTATGATCCTGTGTATGTACATAAGTATGTGTATGAAAGTATTCCTAAGTTTGTTTTCGTTTGATTCTATTATACCGAGCGAAATATAGGCGCGTCTAATGAAGTGATGAGTTCATTAATGTCAATGATTTTGACTTACCCCATTTAGGATAATAGTCGTGAAAATATATTTAACTTATTATTATACTATTAGGAAACTAATATATTGCTCTGACCTCCATCGAACAAAGGCTAGGGAATTCTACTCACGTATCATAATCAACGCATTTGACGTATCAAATTATTTACTAGAATTCCCACGGGAATGGAAGGTAACGTCGAGAATACCTTGTGAAATTGATAGTGTTTTTAATAAAAAATAAACTTTGTAGCCTACCAATACAAAGTAGCATTACAACTTAAACATAATAGAGCTTTCTACCTGGGCATAAAACACGTGCTTGCTTATTTCTTCAAACGTGTATAAAAAACGTGATCTATCTAATGCATTCCAACTCAATTGCAGAACCACGTGTCTGTTTAAGTACTTTACTACAATGTAACGGTCGTAGGATTCTGGTATAAAATCTGAATAATTTTAGTTTACATTTCATAGTAGTAACTAGAGGACTTGGCACTTGAAACAGAATCAATAAACTAACAGCCCCAAATCTATTCTTGCTTGTTTAATTTAAACTAATGTTTATTCAAAGAATGAAAAAAATAAACTTAACGTAAAATTATAGATAACTTCTAACGTAATCGTAGCGTAAACTTGTTACATTTTATTATTGTATACTCAATAGCTTAAAGTCAATAAAAATAAACAATTTATGATAAAATAATTTGTATTTAAAAATATTCCATTTAATTATATCTTTATAACAAATTATTATACTAGATTTGCAATCAAAACTAGATAATGACGTGCTAATTTGGTTATCATTGTTGAATTCAAAGAAAGGATTATTTTGAAAACAAAAACAATAAATTTAACAATAGAATAGAATAGAAAATCATTTATTCAAATAAACTTAATTTAAGCACTTTTGAATAGTCATAACAATTTGTTTTTTATCTACCACTCGTTCGGAAAGCTGTCTCATCACAAGAAGAACGATCAAGAAACTTGTGTGTTGCTCTTTTAAATAATCCTTGTAAGTTTACATTTACAAGTCGAAACGTGTGAATACAAACTACCAACAAGCACTAATTTTCGGGTCAAATATAAATATGCAATAAGATTAAATCAGTCGTAGTGATAAGAGCAGACCAGTCCCTACAAGCAGCACTCGTTTCACGAGTATGACGGATGAGCCAGCCATCACTGCGCTCGACCATATTTTAGGGAGCCCAATGACCCGGCCCACCACGCCGCCACATGTCTGGACATTTTAGTGAGCATGACTACTCATTCCACACGACCACGTCACAGCTACAAAAATTACTATATGGTAGTTACAGTATTCGCACTTTACATAAGGATGCATGCGGCAATCAATACAAAAACCGCTACGCTATCATATATCAAGAAAGCAGTATGAAAATTAACGTTGTCCGCAAATAAACTTATTCTTGCTATATATTGCTATCATCTATAAATTCATCTATTTTATAATAGGCTTTTTTACATAACATTTGTTTAATATAAGATTTGAATTGCCTCTCTGTAAGATTTAGCGTAGATTCTGGCAGTTTATTATAGAATCTTACGCAATTACCATAAAATGAATTACTAACTTTGTGTAGACGACATTTAGGTAAAATTAGCTTATTTTTATTGCGTAAGTTTCTACTTGTACAGTCTTTAAGTTTCTTGAAACTATCTAAGTTTTTCCTTGTATACATAATATTTTCATAAATGTACTGTGAGGCAACGGTGAGGATATTTGATTGTTTAAAGCATTGACGTAATGACTCTCTAGAACCCATACCATAAATAGAACGTATGGCTCTCTTTTGTAAAATAAATATAGTATTTACATCGGCAGCTTTACCCCACAGCAGTATGCCATATGACATAATGCTATGGAAATAACTAAAATATACAAGTTTTGCCGTCGCCACGTCTGTTAATTGCCTTATCCTTCTAATTGCATAAGCAGCAGAACTAAGTCTATTGGCTAATTTTGAAATATGGGGCCCCCATTGTAACTTCGAGTCCACTGTTATTCCTAAAAATACTGTATCATTAACAAAATTTACTATTTCATCATTAAGCAATAGCTGCGTATTTACTTGTTTTACATTAGGAAGCGTGAATTTAATACACTTAGTTTTGTTGGAGTTCAATAATAGATTATTACATGTGAACCAATTTAATATAGCAGAGATAGCATAATTTACATCGTCTAATTGATTACATTGGCGACCAATTTTAAACACTAACGAAGTATCATCCGCAAATAACACTATATCTGCAACTTTCTCTACCATGTAGGGAAGGTCATTTATATAAATTAAAAAGAGAAACGGGCCTAATATTGAACCTTGAGGAACGCCCATTTTTATATTAGTTCCCTTAGACGTTACACCATCAATATCTACAGTTTGCATCCTATCCTCTAGATAAGTTTTCATTGAGTGCTAATTATAATTTGTATATCTATAGAATTATTGTGCTTTGTGTTATTAATACTATGTACCTACTGTGTTATAAACAATTACGTCGAAGAGCTATCATGGTGGAAAAGTTACAATGACGAATCATGTAGGTTATTATTGCTACCATATCCAAGAGATATATACATATAATGTATTATCACCAAGAAGTTGCCGATTTTTAAGCAATTTTGTATACTAATAGATGATAATTTATTATATAATTATAAGGATATAATAATTATAAGAGGCTCTTCATATATCTCCTTTATTTTTCACTTATAGGATCACGCATGCCGTTCAGAAGGTGTTGAATTAGCCCGGGAGTTAGACTACAACGCGGCCGCGGCATGGATCGGCCACCCCTACTTCGACGTAATCGATAACTCCACAGATTTTGATAAGAAAATGAACCGACTCATTGCCTGCGTTTGCCAGAAAATCGGTATTGACACCGGTGACAGGCTCAACGTGAACTCGAAGAAACGCAAGTTCCTTGTCAAATCGCCCATCCCTGTTGACACGGAGTTCCCGCCATTTCAAGACTTCGACGTCGTACACAATTACTTGCAGAGCGATTTGCGTAAAGCCCAAGTCAGGCTCCGCAAACGCGGGCAGAAAGGCCACTGGTCATACATTCATACTTTAAGAAAATTCCATCCCACGAACGGCCAGTCAGTCGAAGTAAGAACACAATTGACACATCGAGATTATCTCAATATGCTGCCGCAGCGTGACGACGCACACTTCACAATATTCAAGAAGCGGCGTTGTTTTATCTACAACAACCAGTACTACCAGTTGGATATATATAGGCAACCCACACATCCTAGGTGATTATTTGGTTTTAAGAACTATTTATATGGAGATGGAACTTGCTACTTTATTCAAATAAGAGTGATTACTCGTAACAAAACTGAATTGAACATATTTAATTGTTCTTTTAAAAGTACAATCAATTTATATATTATGTACATTAATATATATTTCAATTTCCTTATAAAATTAAGTTTTATTGATTACTGTAAATTAGCTCAGACTTATTCAGCTAATTTTTAAAATATTCTCAAGAATCAACTGAATTTTGCTTGACTTGGTAACACTGTGTGTTTAATCAATTTTGGTCTAATGAAACATTTCAGGTGCCGAGGTCTGGTATTGCTGGAAACGTACAGCGCCACGTACGATCAGGATACCCTGATTCAGTCTTTGCCAAAATTCCTGACGATTGAGAAAGAAGTCACAGGTGATCCAGCCTATTCTATGTACAACTTGTCCTTGAAAGAAGATTGGAAGACGTCAAAAAAGTATTATGCCGGCACCGACAGTAACGGTAAGCTTTACTGTGTCTTTGCGTATGATTACGCTTAGTTATTATAAAATTCATATAAAAATAGTGTTGTTCTTTCTCTTTTAGTTACTTACTAAACTATGAGATCTTATTTGTTTTAAATCACTATTGTGCTGTCTTCATGTAACAAATTCAAATACCCTCTTTCTGCATGTAAAATTTATTACGATGTTGACACGGACGTAATTGTGTATGATAGTCTAGTCTAGGCACCTAGTTTGTGTAGTTTTTTATTTATTAAATAGATTTTGTCCTGCTCATTATGTGTATATTTAGATTTGGATGTTCTACCACTCTATGTGTATGTCCCGCACTGTAGTCTCCTTTGTCAGCTAATTGTAGTTTATCGGGAATTTATGGAATATTAAAATAAACATAATTTTCCAGATTCGAAACCTGTTAAGCTTGGACATAAGTACTCTGAATTGCTTTCTACCGATGATTCCACTAATACGGACTAACATTGTTCAAGATATATAAATTTATTTTTTATAATGAACATTCCTATTTAGTATTTAACCAGGACTAACAACACAATTACGTCAATGTCGTCTGAACTGTAGTGTGTGGGGTTAAACGAGGTTTTTTGGTTTATCAGGGCGTTCTAAGTGGTCGATGAATGGGCATAGTGATAGTAAACCTGATCACCGCTGTAAGGTGAATGGCGTCTCGGGCGAGAAAGTGAACGGACATTCGGAAAAAGTCAACGGATACGGGTCAAGAAAAACCGGGGGTTATCCTAATGTCAACGGACACCGCGACACGAACGGCCACGGGCACGTTAACGGTGCTAACATCACCAATGGCAAGCCACATGGGGTGGAGCTACAAAACTTCCAAAGTAACCACAGAATAGAAGATCTCGGAACACCAAAGATAGCCAAGGTTGCTGTTAAGACATAAAAAACAACTGATTGGTACTATTTAGATATAAATATTCCACTTGTAATATCAATAATGTTCACATTTCTATGCTCATATTAATATTAAAAATTAAAATGAATAAACAGACTATGTCATAGGATTGTGCTTCGTAACACTCGATCTCTGCCTGTCCAGATGAATTATACAATATATTGTATTTATTATATTCACATCATTGTAAAATTGCAAATGATATATATTTTTATAGCAATTGTGACATAATAATATATAGAACATATTAATGGACTAATTTATTATGACTTACATTAATATTTATTGGACTAACAAAATATTACAAAAATGTATAAAATAGTTAAATATTGTTTGTGCCTTCACACAGTAATGTATGTTTGAAAACTGAATTATTATATATTCAGTACATGTAACACTTTACACCAAGGGTTAGTACTTAATAAAATTGGAATACTTAATGGAATTTACATTTACAGTATGTTCTGTATAAACATAATTTTATCATATAATAATGAGGATGCACTTTCAAGATTTATTAAACACAAATGAATTGGATATTTATACATTAAATTATTTGATGTTATTTTTATATAAACTGCATTGTTTGTGACGTTCAACTTCAAAGTTATCATTTAGATAACGACATATTTTAACCGTGACTATATTGTTTTCACTAACAAAACCGTAATTTACCTGTAAGATAGGAAAATACACCACTATAAATTCTTTAAAAAAGTAGTGGAGTGGTGGTTTTAAAATAAAATGTTCTTGATGTCGTGTCACGTGTCGCCGTAGAATTTAATTAATTTTAGGGTCCTATTGTAAACAAGTCTTGTAAGCTTGAGCAATGGTTGCCCTATTTATTTACAGTACATTTTAGTGGCCTTTTAGTGTCGAATTTTGTGTGCTAAGAAATATATTTTTGATTAAAAATATAGAATTTAATGTGCACATTGATGTTGTTGCAATATTCATAATTTGTTGTGTTAAAAGTAAATTTTATTGTACTTATGTGAATTACATATGTTTATGTAAAAATGTACTTTGCAAAGTATTCAAACATTGCTAGCTAATGACACTTAACGGAAGCTAATTCTGTACATATTATTTGCTTTTGGCAAAAGTCCACGGTAACATTATTTATGGCTGTGTACTATTAACTGAGCTATTAAGAACTATTTATCTATCACCTAAGCATATTGTAACACTGAAAATGCCAAATTACTATTTTTAAGGCTAATTGCACCGAAAAGACAAGAGATATTTTTTTAAATAAGTAATATCGTTTTATTTTTCATCAGGCATCAAATAACAGATGCTCTAATTGTAAACCACGTGATATTTATTTTTTTCTGGTAACTTGTGAAATATTTAAACTTCTAAGTACCTAATATGTAGGCGCTTATTGGAAATGTATGTAAAAATTTGGAAGTACCTAAGTGTCTCTCGGCATTCTTTCTAATAAAGAAAAATGCATCAACAGAACTAGTGTTTTTGTTATTACAAAATACGCGTGTATTCGCGCAAACCAAAGGCTCTACCTATAGTGAACTTTTATCCTATAATATTTTAGCAATGCAGAAAAGGTAGATGCTTCTTCTGCGTGGATAGTTGGGTACCTCTGTCTCGCCTATCTTATCCACTAAACAATTTGCTTTGTAAACTGTTCCGGTTGAAGTATATACCCTATAATTTCATAATATAGGGTAGTACAGAGGTATAACAGTCATCAGGATATTATATGATTAGTCGTCAGAAGTGTTAGTAAACACATTATGCGTATATACCACGCGGTTGTGTCCATAAAACTGTTCATGTATGTAGTAGTTGGCATATCTGTTAAATATAAAAAACAGAATAACCTTTGGATATTCACCCCAAACAAAGCAATAAGTCAATATTGGTGACAGTTTAAATTAAATGTGCAAGGAGCGTCACATTGTACTTTGTGGTATCCATGATTCAGGTATATAGTCAACAGTTACGTGTCCATAAAACATTATAGGTGGTGTATGTTAGTCATATATTTTTTTATTTTTATTCCTTTGTCAGTCTAAGTCCCATTTTCCCGTTTTTGCAACATAACATCATTTTAGCATAAGCATTGGTGTTAGAATGATATTATCCAACAAGAATTTTCAGAACCTGGTTAGTAATGCCAGATAGCCAAAATCAATCTCAACAATTCATGTAATAGATGGCGACATATAGATGATTTATTGTTTTCGTTTGATCATCATCAAGAAATGATGATCTATAAATGGTCATACGAACAAAGTGTGCTAAGAGTGGTAGTAAATAAAGTCAACAAATCTAACTGGTATTATTTTCAATTTCTTATGAAATGCTGATAATGAATGTTTTGCTTAAAGTAAAAAAAATATAAGGTACTCATTTATTTTTTATTGGAATCTTTGGTTTTCTGATCCTTATACATTTTCATAACTTTCTTTCCTGGGACTAAGGTCTGACTCAAGCCTGGTCGTTTTAATTTTTTTTTCTCTGTAGCTCCTTCCCAAACTGCATCATCAGTGGGAGATATCATGTCCGTTGATATTTGGGGTGGTGGGGTAGATGTCATTGTGCCTGCTCCCTCGCATACAACTGATTTGAGTTTCTGTAAATAGTAACACATTGAATTTAAAAAATTAAATAATATGAAGATGCAGAAAACACATCAACCACAATATTATTAGGTATTGTAAATTACAATCAAATCTAAACATAATAATAATTACAATCTAATTTATATGAATATAAATGAAAAAATAAAATAATTTTAAAAACAATGTTATCACAATACCTGTTTCTCGATTTCTAATTCTTCTGCAGTCTTCTGAATATCAGAATCATGGGCATATTTACAATTGTGACCAAATCGACACCTTCCTTTCCTGTAGTTCCAACAGATTTTCTTCCCATTTATCATCTGTGTATTGTCTTTACCTGGAACCTTACAGTCATTGCCTATGTACTTGACGATTTTATGTTAAATTTGATACCTGTATTGTTTACATATAGCATTACTACAATTAATGTATTTGCTAAATTGGTCAACATAATTATAATAATGGTTTAAAATTATTAAAACCTAAAATATTAACTTCAATATTTTAGGATTTGGGATAACTTTACAATTTATTTATAATTAATTGCTCAGAAAAACTAACCACTAATTATAGTATATTAGTTGTGTTATACATGTTGCCCACAACAAATACATAGGATTGGGAAGAGCAATAAAAGAATTTAAGTTCTTTAAACTGCCAAGTAATCACATTACTTATAATGTTTTATACAACAGTGCAATATCTGTATCCAGAAATAAAATTATTGACCAAGAGATAATATGAGCTGAGTTTGTCAGTTCATCTTAGCTTGAAAGCACTCAGAACTCATGCTAGATTTTACTTATCAAGAGTCTGTAATAGATATTTTGATTTCATTGGAACCTTAGGAATATTTTTAATAAATTAATTAAGTTGCATATATAGATCATAAACAAGTCAATATCAATTCAACTTTACCATTTTAACGTGTTTCTCTAAAATAGCGGCCTTAGCTAATTCTGCTTCAACAAATGGATTGGAAAATACTGAAGTTTGTAAACTGCTCTCTCCAAGAGCTGGTTTAGGTAATTTGAGTTTTGTACTCTCCTGACATCTGTAAGTATAATATACAAATATTACAATACTATTTTATTCCACATTTATCCAGTTATTTTGCAGACGAATTGGCAATATGTATGAAAAGAAAAACCAATATATAATCTTTCAATACTTGCTTGTCTGTATCTTCTTGTGCATCTTCTGAATCACTGGAGGACGACGTACCGTAATCCAACAGTGCATTCATTTTATGGTAATATCCAAAAGATTTCGATAAAAAGATATTGTTTTTACAAGTTATTTAATTATACTGAAACCAAATTGAAACTATAGATAAAATCAATATTAAAAAATACGATATTCTACAATCAATACCATTTTTTTTTTCCATATTCGTCCATCTCCTTTTCAGTGATGGAACAGGCAAAGATCCTTAGACCGTACAGCCTAGTCTACATTTAAGCTTCTTCATATTTGAACAAGTGATGAGGCCAAAGGCCAATTCTTATGTATGTTTATTTATTATGTTTTCATTCGTGTCAATTTAAGTCTTATCCATAGTCCATATCCTTGTATCAATTATTTAAAGTTTTATCGATATCGAGGTAACGTATAAATATATAGGTATATATGTTTCAAAATTAGTTAGCATGTCTTGGATGTCGCGCGGGATTTTTTCCGGTTTCTTGTAAATGTTCAGTAAATTATCAATAAAGACCAAGCGTTGAATATTATAAGCGGAACATTCGAAAAATATGTGATTTAGGGTCTGACTGCTGTTATTGCACTCTTGACATGCATTTGAATCAATTATTTTCATTCGGCACAAATGACTATTGAATCTAGCGTGACCAAAACGAAGTCGTATAAGGAGTGTGTAAAATTTCCGGTTTTTATAAACTCTAGATTTAGTGAACCAGGGTGAGGAATGAATATTTTTGTTAATGGAGTAAAACCAATTACCCTTGGTCTTTAGCGAAAGTTGCCACTGTTCAATCCATTTTTGACGAAAACTCTTGTAAACTATAGAAAGAATGTCGGAATAAGGTATGGCAACATCCTTGACAACGCCAATGTCATTGTTGGTGATAGTTCTTGCCAGGAAATCTGCGTTTTCATTACCGAAAACACCAATATGTGATGGTGTCCATAATAAAATAATATCATAACACTCCAATGAGAGCTCATATAATATTTGCTTAATGCTATCTATGATATAATTGGTTTTATAATGTAGTTTGTTACTTTGAAGAGCAGTTAAAACACTCATACTGTCTGTGACAATTAACCATTTTTTGCAATTGCCCCTATCATCTTTTATATAACAAAGTGCATTTAAAATAGCCAAAGAATCTGCTGAAAAAATACTAAATTCTTTATGTATTCTAGTTCCATGACCGGTTCTGATACTTGGTAAGTATAGAGCAAAGGATGTTCTCGATTCGTTTTTAGAACCGTCTGTAAATATGGATTGATGAGTTGAAAATGTAGACAACTTGTTATAAACTTCTTGTTTGGTCCTTAACTCAGAGTCAATTACAATATTAATATTTGGAAATTTACTTTCAAATGGTCCATGGTAACAATTCCAAAATCTATTGCTTTTGTGAATTTTGTATTGCTGATCAATATTGATTGAGTCAGAGAAATCATGAAGTATATAGGGAACTGTTTTAGAATTAGAAAGGGGAAACAAAGAAGTATTATGTTTGAGCTTTTGTAAGAGTGGATCTTCAGAAAAGGATAATAATTTTAGGATGAATCTTTGTTTTAAGTACCAGAATCTCAGGTTTAATGGTGGTATACAGCACTCTACTTGTAAGGAATTTATAGGGGTTGTTTTCATTGCACCAGTTATGTATCTTAAATTATTATTCTGAAGTACTTCAAGTTTATGAAGCTTGTTTTGGTCAGAACCAAAACATAGATAGCCATATTCAAAGTGGCTGCGAATCAAGGATTTGTACAGCATTAAAAGGATCTTAGGATCACATTTATATAGAGCTTTGATAATATTAAATGCTTTGGAAGCTTTACCTAGTAAATAATCAACATATTTGTTCCAAGACAAATTGCTACAAAAAATAACACCTAAAAATCTAACTTCAGCAGTAATAGGTAGTTGTGAATTATTATATAATATTTTAATGTTTTTGTAGGATTTATTAGTTTTAGAAAATATTACTACTTTAGATTTGTCAGGGCTTACATCTAAATTGAGGTATTTAAAGTAATCTGTTAATCTTAACAATGCGTTACTTATTATTTCTGTAACTTTATTAATGTCTGGGCCTGAAAAGTATATAACAAGGTCATCTGCAAATTGAAGATTCCTGACATGTGGCCCTAAAATTAAATTAAGTTTGTGTATGTAGAGGATAAAGAGTAATGGACTAAGTATTCCACCTTGACACACACCTTTATAAGAAAGACGAGGTCCTATTAACTGCTTGTTAACTTTAACAAAAACTTCTCTACTTTCCAAGATTTTTTTGCTAATATTCCGATTGATATTACATCTTCTCTAGACTCATCTCCAATTCGAGCAAAAACGTTACTGGAGGCTAATGTCAGCCCTTGCTCTTTAACATTTAAATTTTCACATGTCAGCCCTTTTCATGTCATAAAAATATTCAAACAGTTAAATTTAAAAAATACGGAAGATCTCTGGGACATGTCAGTTAAAGTAGTTAGTTCATTCATAGATATTGTTGCTCCTTATCTAGCTACTATTTTCAATAAATGTGTTGATAATGGCGTGTTTCCTCAATTAATGAAATTTAGCAAATTAATTCCACTCTTTAAATCTGGAGATAGATTTGAGCTAGGCAACTATAGACCAATTTCTATTTTGCCAGTTCTAAGTAAAGTATTTGAAAAGATTATGTTTAACCAAATGTTAAAATACTTCAGGGATAACGGACTGCTTCACAGTCAGCAATATGGTTTCACTGCCGGCAAGTCTACTACTGATGCAGGTGTAGCGCTTATTACACATATATTCGAATCATGGGAAAACTCACAGGATGCTCTCGGCGTTTTTTGTGACTTGTCGAAGGCGTTTGATTGCGTAGATCATGAAACACTTTTGTACAAGCTCAAACATTATGGTATTAGAGATAATGACCTAAGTCTAATGAAAACTTATCTAGAGGATAGGGTGCAAACTGTAGATATTGATGGTGTAAAGTCTAAGGGAACTAATATAAAAATGGGCGTTCCTCAAGGTTCAATATTGGGCCCATTTCTCTTTTTAATTTATATAAATGACCTTCCCTACATGGTAGAGAAAGTTGCAGATATAGTGTTATTTGCGGATGATACTTCGTTAGTGTTTAAAATTGGTCGCCAATGTAATCAATTAGACGATGTAAATTATGCTATCTCTGCTATACTAAATTGGTTCACATGTAATAATCTATTATTGAACTCCAACAAAACTAAGTGCATTAAATTCACGCTGCCTAATGTAAAACAAGTAAATACGCAGCTATTGCTTAATGATGAAATAGTAAATTTTGTTAATGATACAGTTTTTTTAGGAATAACAGTGGACTCGAAGTTACAATGGGGGCCCCATATTTCAAAATTAGCCAGTAGACTTAGTTCTGCTGCTTATGCAATTAGAAGGATAAGGCAATTAACAGACGTGGCGACGGCAAAACTTGTATATTTTAGTTATTTCCATAGCATTATGTCATATGGCATACTGCTGTGGGGTAAAGCTGCCGATATAAATACTATATTTATTTTACAAAAGAGAGCCATACGTTCTATTTATGGTATGGGTTCTAGAGAGTCATTACGTCAATGCTTTAAACAATCAAATATCCTCACCGTTGCCTCACAGTACATTTATGAAAATATTATGTATACAAGGAAAAACTTAGATAGTTTCAAGAAACTTAAAGACTGTACAAGTAGAAACTTACGCAATAAAAATAAGCTAATTTTACCTAAATGCCGTCTACACAAAGTTAGTAATTCATTTTATGGTAATTGCGTAAGATTCTATAATAAACTGCCAGAGTCTACGCTAAATCTTACAGAGAGGCAATTCAAATCTTATATTAAACAAATGTTATGTAAAAAAGCCTATTATAAGATAGATGAATTTATAGATGATAGCAATATATAGCAAGAATAAGTTTATTTGCGGACAACGTTATAATTTTAATTTTCATACTGCTTTCTTGATATATGATAGCGTAGCGGCTTTTGTATTGATTGCCGCATGCATCCTTATGTAAAGTGCGAATACTGTAACTACCATATAGTAATTTTTGTAGCTGTGACGTGGTCGTGTGGAATGAGTAGTCATGCTCACTAAAATGTCCAGACATGTGGCGGCGTGGTGGGCCGGGTCAATGGGCTCCCTAAAATATGGTCGAGCGCAGTGATGGCTGGCTCATCCGTCATACTCGTGAACGAGTGCTGCTTGTAGGGACTGGTCTGCTCTTATCACTACGACTGATTTAATCTTATTGCATGATTATATTTGACCCAAAAAATTAGTGCTTGTTGGTAGTTTGTATTCACACGTTTCGACTTGTAAATGTAAACTTACAAGGATTATTTAAAAGAGCAACACACAAGTTTCTTGCTCGTTCTTCTTGTGATGAGACAGCTTTCGAGCGAGTGGTAGATAAAAAACAAATTGTTATGACTATTCAAAAGTGCTTAAATTAAGTTTATTTGAATAAATGATTTTCTATTCTATTCCATTCTATTCTTCTTATACACAGTCCAATCTATAAGATTGTAATTATGAAATTTGGGATAATCTAAGGATTCTGGTAATCTAGTGCAATTGTTATTAATTACTATTTTTGTTATTACAGGTAAATGGTAGCTACCTAAGGGATCATTATGTACTATCCAATTTGAAGCAAGAGATATGCAAGGAGATGCAATAGTAAGGTCAAGCGCATTACTCTGCCATCTGTGTGATCCTACTGTAGTCGGTGTACCATCATTTAAGAGGACCAAGTTGTTACCATCAATACATTCAAGAATGTCACGACCGCGAGCATTAATAGACGAGCAACCCCATGCTGTGTGATGAGCATTAAAATCACCAGCAACCAACATGGGTTCTGGAATACTATTAAGAAGATTACTGAATTTATTTTTGTTAAAATGTGGACTACAATTATTTGGGCTATAAAAACTCACAACTGACATTTCTGTGTTTTTATATTTTAATCGTACCGCAATATTCTGTAAGGAATCATCACTATATGTATCAATTTTACTGAATTCTATACTTTTATGAACTAAAATTGCAACGCCGTTATGGTCATTGCCTGAGTCTAATCTAACAATGTTAAAGCCTTTAATATTTAATTTATAGTAGGCTTTTAGCCA